GAGAGAGAGAGAGAGAGAGAGAGAGAGAGAGGAGACTGAACCTTGGGCCTTGCAGATGCTAAGGCATGTACTGCTGAGCTATAGCCCTAGCTCTCTTTCTTTTTGAAATAAGATCTCATAAAGTTGCTCAGGCTGGCCTTGCACTAACCCTGTACCATGGACAGGCCTTGAACAACATGGGATCTTCCTGCCGCAGCCTCCTAAGTAGCTGAGATTACAGGTTGTGACAAACAAACCCAGTTGGTTTTTTTTTTTTAAGTTGGTATAACTACTCAATACCACATATACCTTAGCGTATGGTAAAATTAATGTTTTGTGTTTTATTTTCTGTTTTGTTGTTTTGTTTTCCTTTTTTTTTTTTCTGAGACTATATAGACATGGCTGGCCTAGAATTTGCTATGTAGACCATGCTGGCCTGAAACTCACAGAGATCTGTCTCTGCCTTCCAAATGCTGGCATTAAAGGCATGTGCCACCATGTCCAGATTTTTTTAAAATATTTTATTGATAATTTTGAAATTTGGTTTTTCATTTTTGTTTTTCTTTATTATTGTTTTTGAGACAAGATCTCATGTGTCTTTGTCCTTGAACTTGTTATGTACCCGAGGATGACCTTGAACTTGTGATCCTGCTCCCCCATCTCCTAAGTGCTGGGATTCCAGACTTGTACCACCACATTAGAGTTTATGTGGTACAGAGGATTGAACCCAGGGCTTCATGCATGCTAACCAAATACTCTACCAACTGAACTACATTCCCAGCCTGGTTATTAACTTATCTTAACGTAGATAATAATTACTTGTGGTCAAAAGCCAAAAAATATAATGTACTATATAGTAAAGTTCTCATCCAGGTTCTTCAACCATTGCTTCATCCTCAGAATCAGCCATATCTCTGTAGAGGTGGAACAACATTATACAATCACATATTTATGTGTACACAAGGAGTATAACATAAAAATATATAGCACGTATATATCCTACCCTATAATATAGCTTAACTAAATAATTTGTAAGAATTCATAGCAGAATAGCTATATCCTTTCCTTAGCAGAAAGCAGACAGTGTATCTGAAAAGTCTCTTCCCGGGGTTCCGAACTGGATGACCCTGTCTTGTGCTCCCTCAAACTGGACTCAGTCCATCTCTGGGCTCTTCTCCCTCCTCCCAGTAGTTCTCCCTGCCTGATGGTGACCCCTCACTCACAGCAGACCGATGGCTGAAAACACTTCTACTTGGATGAGAGCTTTACTGGCTCTTTGTTTCCTACAAAGGATCACAGAAATATGTTCCTAGGAATGGGTTTAATATTGATGTAACATAGATTCTGCTAAATCTGTTGAAAGCAAGACCACACTTACTTAGCATGACATTGTGTTTCTTAGTGGCTGTTCCTCTTCCCCCAACTCATGTCCTTACCCTTGATGTGATGTTCAGAACATCCATCAGGAAAGAGAGCCACTGTCTATAAGAGACCTTGCAGGTCCCTTCCTACAGATTTGTGGATATCTTGTTAGTGCTATCAGATGCTTCTGTGACTACAGTTTACAGGTGTTTTGTTTTCTACCTTCTAGCAAAAAGTCTCTCAGGCCCCTCCTTTGGAGAACATTTCACGTTCTCATGGGTCATGGGCCTCCAGCAGCTATCTCTCTTTTATTTACAAAATAGTACATGTGAGTCTACTTGGAAAGAGAGGATAACTGCCATCTTGCCTGCCTCTCTGTGTAATGGGTGACACAGTTGGTCACAATCAGTGGTCCAATAGTAATTATGATCCCACATTCCTCAGAGCTGCTTTTGCCAGAAGTCACTCTATAAATTCTGTTGAGCAATTTGAACTCAAAATCCTCTGCCTGGTTATCTGTTCTGTGTACATCCCTTGAAAACCATGGAACTATTCCCACACAGGAACTATTCCCACACATACTGGCACACTCATGGAGTTGGCATAAAACAATCTTAGATACAGCACTGGGGAAACACAGACAGAAAATGGCAAGAGAAGACAGAGAAATCAGACCAGCTAAAGATGTTGGAATGTTATGGTAATGGCGACAATATGGTTCTTAGAGCACACAAAAGAGCGTAGGTAGGCCAAAAATGCTAAGTGCAGTTGAGCAGAGAGTAGTTCAGTGACCATGCATGAGTGGAGGCATTGATGGAATGAGAGGTCATCTGAAGGATGGACCTGCATGGTCCAAGAAAGGAGCATCTGATTAGCAGAATACTTCTCCAGACTGTTGTCTGTATAGGGCACTAGTGGATTAAGAGGACTATTGAGTTCTTAACTGATTGGTGGTGACAGTCCAACCAAAGGGACATTCTATAGAGACTATGCTGTTTGATGTTAGGTAAATTCATAATGCAGACCTCTGGCTTATGCTGAAGACAGTATGTACCCCAGTCCCCACATAACATACCTGAAGGCTTCAGTAAATTTCACAGGTTGATCCCCTTGTAATTCCCTGGGATCCTCTGTCTTTAGCAAAGTTGAACTTGTAAGGTTGAGACAAAAATGGTATTCTCAAGCAGGTACATTGTCTCCTGTGACTGCTAAAGCAAAGCTCTCCATTGTTTTTAATCTGTTACCATTTTGGCCCAGTCTGGATCTTTCTATCTCCATGTCTCTGTATCTATTGTAGGAACCCAGGAAGAGCTGTAGATTTTCTTGGTTGGCATTTTTAGCGGGATACAGTCTATAGGTTTGAGTTAAGTTCAGGTTACCCAAAGTGTTGAGCCAAAAATCGTATCTACAAAAAAAAAAAAGGGATCAAGTCTGAGAGTCTAAAAGCTGCCTAGACAATTCAGCTTTGAACACAGGCCTTCCACATATTCTAGATTCATTGAATGCAAATCTTTTAAAAGTGTAGGCAGCACTCAGGCCAGCTCATGCATTGTGTACCAGTAAGACCCTGTTGGGAATGAGTCTGCACCTTCCTGCCTACCAGAGACATCCACATGGCAGACAGCAAAGAGCTGGTGATCCCTTGCATATTCCCAAGGTTAACATGTTGAAACAGGATTTTTGGTTGTGTCTAATACTGTGAAATAACAGTATAAGTAGTCTGTTATCCTTCAGTAAGCTTCTTCAGTGATGTGACCATACAGGTTGTTTCTGTGTTATATTCCTGACAGCCAAAGTCCTGAAGGTGCCTTTTCACTTTAAAGTGATTTGATCACTGAGTTGAGTTATGAGAAATAGGTGAGAATAGAGGAGTCCCAAGAATAAACCTTTAAGAAATGTGGGCTGGTGAGATGTCTTTTAGTGGTTGAAGGTGTGTCTTTGAAGGGGCTTGTGGGATCTCCTCATTCTCATTTGCTTCCTGGTGATGAAGTGAATGCTTTTGTCCTGGTTTGATGTAGTGCCTTGCCACAGGCTCAAAGGCATGGAACCAAATGATCATGGACTAGAAACTTCAAAACTGTGAGCCAACACCAAACTTTTTGTTTGTAAGTTGATTGTCTCCTGTATTGTGTGATAGTGATGAGAATCTGACTAGCACAGTGTTGTGCCTGCATGCTTACACATCCAACCTCCATGCCTGAGGCTTTAAGTCTTATCTTTATTATAGCTTCTGGCCCGAGGTGGGTTCTTAGGAAATACTTGTGAAAAATCACTTCATGGTTTTTTGAATGGTCAATGTGCCTAAAGGATAGCTTTGCAAAATAGATATCTCAGCTATTAAGTATGGAAAACATTTATTTTTCTGATATAAGGCTATACTCAAAGTGAACATGCATATGCCAGCAAATTTCTAAAATGAATCACTATCTTGGTTGTATTGGCTTATGCACTTGAGAAGAGTAATGGTGGTGCAGGCTTTGCCTCCTGGACATGTGTATAGTTGAGATGGACATTCAGATCTCAGCAGAGTTATCAACTGTGCTTAATCCTGTGTTTATCCTGTGCAGACAAGTGATTGTCTCATAAAATAGCTCATTCTTAGATCACTATAAGAATCTAAAACAGCAGAAAATTTAAGTAAAGTAAAAACTGCTGAACTACACATTCTTAGAGTGTGTGTTTTCTCAAAGTTTCTGTGCATGTCAGATCTCAGCAGAGTGATTAACTGTTTATCCTGTGCAGACAAGTGATTGTCTCATAAAACATTTCACGTGTGTTGTAAGAATCTAAAACAGAAAATAAATAAATAAATAAATAAATAAATAAATAAATACTGCCGAACTACACATTCTTAGAGCGTCCATTTTCTTAAGGCTTCTGTGCATGGACTATTTCAAATTAACTAGTTAGTTTTGTTAAATAATATCTATTTCCTTATAAAATTATGATTTAAAGAAAAGTGTGTTTGGGGGGGTGAGGGTGGGAAGGGGTGGTTCACACTCCCGTGGTGCTCACAGAGACCATAAGAGGGTATCACATGTCTTTTGATCTGTACGTGCCTTAGTTTCTTTTCTCGTTGCTGTGATAAAAATATCCTGACAAAGCCAACTTAGTTTATATGTGGAAGGAGCTTGAGGGAGTGGGCCATGTCACATCCATAATCAGGAACACAGAGCAGTGAATGCCTGCAAGCTAGTGTTCAACTCCACGTTGTCCATCCACTCTTCTATAGTCCAGGATCCCCTGCTTAGGGAATGGTGCCACCCCAAATGATTTGGTATTCCCACCTCAAGTTAGCATAATCTAGTCAATCCCCCACCAATGTATGCCCACAGTGCAACTTGATGAAGACTGTCCCTCACTGGGACTCTTCCTAGGTGATTCTATGTTGTGTCAGGCTGACAGTTAAAACTATCATAGGATACCAAGAAATGGTGTTCCTGCCGTTTTTAAAAAGGACTGCATCACCTGTTCCTTCTATATATTTCTTTCCTTAAATTCCTCAAAACCAAGGAAATAAAAATAATCTACTCTAAGGCTATTTAGTGTATGTAGTGTATAATAGTGTAGCCCTATTCCTGTAGGATTAAACAAAATAAAATGTGATCCCAGCATATGAGGATTTGCTATGGCCTTGGAAGAGAGAGAGAGTACATGCCAATCAACCTCTATGTGTCACTAGCCAATGGACTGTGAGGAATAAAGGGACTAAAAGCATATGCAGCGGCTCAATTTGAATTTTTAACACTAGTTCTGGGACATTTTTGAAGACTTGTCACAGAATTATACCCAAAATAATTGATAGCTCAAGCCGATGTGAATGAATAACCATGATTTAGGGCTAGTCTGGAACAAAGAAACTGCTTTAGTAATTAGGTCAAAAATAAAGAAACTCACAATCAGAATGAATATGGATCTTAAAAAGATGCATTTGCATGGTGACTGAGGTGAAAATTATGGTACTTAACTCATGCTGATTGCCCCATCCCAAAATTATGCAAATTTGTATATAAACCTTCTTAACTCATTCTTGGAGGACAATATGGAATGCACTTTTGCTCACAATTTCATTTCTGGCAAGTTTAGATCAAAGGTCAACTTTTTCAAATCACGTTGGATTTCCCCCCCGCCAAACAAACTTACCTTGAAAAAAACTTTCTGGAAGAAAGTCTAGCAAAGAGTGGATATGGGGTAAAACACACATACACACACACACACACACACACACACACACACACACACACACCTTGGTCTGAATTTGTACTTTTGAAAATCATGTTTAGGAGCCATTGTAGAGAAATTATGGCACAGATCTCATGTCTAATAGGAAGTTAGAAAATTTAATAAGCATTTTCTTACTATGTGTACAGAATAGGGCTTATTCCCCCACCGCAATGCCTATCAAGTAAAGATATTTGGATGAATTATAGAGTTTTTAAGCTACACTAGAAGAAAATTCTGGCATAGAAATTATTCCTCAAGACTTTTCTATTTGAGCCAAGTTGACTGAAAAATCATACTTCGATGCCATTTAGAAGAAAACTCTTGCAAAGAATATGTAATAACAACAAGCAAAAAAAAAAAACCCTCCATGATTTCAGTGAACTTGTTAAGAAATTACATTTTCTGCATATCTCAGAAGATTCAGTGCCTATAAGCCTACACTTGAACAGATGTAAATGAAAATACCACATTTCCAGGAAATCTGGGAAGGAATATGGCTTTTTCCTCCCCCAAGTCCCCACTATTTAAATAAATTTGGATTTTAATTTGTTTCTTGATTACATGGAGGGAAACTTGACAACACACTTAGTCCACCCCCCAAAAAAAAAAACCCTACACTTGAGTGGTTGGATACGAACCATTTATTTCTTGACAGTTTGTAAAATAACATAGCATATAAGTTATGAACTCTAAAAACCTAAGGAAATTTTTAAATCACACACATACACATACACTTTAAAAATCTGGCATCATTATTTTCTAATGCCTACAAGACTTGGTGGATTGGGATGAAAAGTCTAGTTTCAGGAATATTTTGGAGAGGAAATATAGTATGGTATTATATCCAGATAATCTTGGTATGCAAATTTGGATGAAAAACTGCCATTTGGGGACCAAGGCAGTAACTCCTGAGGTTAAGTGCAATGGCTAATATCACAGAAAATGGGGTTCAACTACCAGCATCCAATGTGGCTCACAACCACCTATAACTCCAGTTCCAGGCACCTGATGCCTTCTCCTGGCCTCAGCGGGCTCCAAGCATGCATGTGATACACAGGCGTACACTTAGGCAAAACACATCCAAATACATGAAATGAAAAAGAAAAAAGAAAGACCTAATTGTGTTTCTGGGCCACCTTTTAAAACTTGGATGTGTACATTTAGTGTAAAAACAACTTTTGGAGTGAATCTGGATGAAAAGGAAAATCAGATAGCCTCGCTGGTATTTCTGTTGGGTTTCCTACACTTTTGTCTTAATTGCATTCCAATAGATAAAACCACATCCACATAGATCTCAAAACAAGATTCTCCAGCTTAGCTATCAAAATGTTATGCAGTGACTGCCTTAACCTTCATTGAAACCACTTTATGTGGTTGCTGAGCCACACATTTAATGTTTCTAAGGCCTTAAGAGTCTTGGAGCTTTGCCCTTATCTTCCAAGCAATGAATTTTTGTGAACAGTGAGTTCAAGATACCCGAGGATTACATTTCCTAAAAGAAAAGGAGAATTGCAGATCAGGTTGCAAATCTGTAAAGAAGCAAAGTTTCCCAGACAAAAGGCCACACAACATGAGACTGGAAAGGCGAGTTACTGTCCACTGGTCTTACGAAGTGCATTCTTCTAGTTCATGGAAGTGTAAGAATTCTGCCAGTGAGTCCTTTCCACCATTTTCATTTTCAAAGAGAATATAAGGGGTCAGAAGATCACCCCAAATAGGCTTCAGAGTCAGGCTGGAGGGGCACTTTGTGGTGGGCACATTTCATCTTCCTGTGTCTGCTGAGGTGAAACTTTTGTCTAAAGCCTTTTCCACAGGTTTTGCACGTGTATGTCTTCTCCCCGTTGTGTAAGGTGAAGCGTAACTTCTGGATAAAGCCTTGGCCACACTCTCTGCGAACATAAAGCTTCTCTTCAAAGTGTACCTGCTTATGTGTGACTAAAGCTGACTTATTATTAAAGCTTAGCCCACACTGCTTGCACACATACCGTCTCTCCCTTGAATGCTTCCTCTTGTGTCTGATGAGACAGGACTGCTGACTAAAGCCTCGCCCACTGTCTCGGCACACATGTTTCTTTTCTCTTGAGTGTGACCTCTGGTGTGCCAGGAGGATTGACTTCTGGTGAAAGCCTCGTCCACATACCGCACACACATATGGTTTCACCCCAGTGTGCCTCCTCATGTGAGAGATGAGATTTGACTTCTTGCTACACCTGTGCTCACACAGAGTACACATGAACGGTTTCTCCCCAGTGTGCATCCTCATGTGACAGAGGAGATTTGAATTCGTGTTAAAGATACGCCCACATACGTCGCACACATAAGGCTCCTCCTTTAAGTGAGTCCTCTGGTGGTTTAAAAGGGTTGTCCTCTTCCTGAAGCACTGCCCACACTCCTTGCAAGCATAAGGCTTTTCCCCAGAGTGTGCCCTTTGGTGGGAGATGAGTTTTGACCTGTCACTGAAGCCAAGGCCAGAGCCACTGCACACAATGGTCTTCTCCTCTAAGTGTTTCCTCTCATGTTTAACGACAGCCGATTTCTGGCTAAAGCCTTTACCACACTCCCTGCACATGTAAGGCTTCTCCCCAGAATGTGTCCTTTGATGGATGATGAGGTTTGACTTCTGCCTAAAACCGCGGCCGCACTCAGTGCATGTGTAAGGCTTCTCCCCCGAGTGTGTCCTCTCATGAATGACCAGTGTTGACCTCCGGCTAAAACTTTTCCCACACTCCTTACACACAATGGGTTTTCTCTTGGAGGGTGCTCTCTGGGGTCTAGCTAGGTTGCTCTTTAGACTGGAGTCCTTCTCATCCACCCCACCCACCTTCGGCTTCTCTCCTGAGTGGATCTTCTGGTGACTATGCAGGTCTGTCAGCTTGCTGAAGCCCAGCCCACAGTCTTCACAGTTAACCGTTCCAAGTCCCAAGCTTTCTTTTCGATTCAGCAACTTCTCTGGTTCTTTAGTGCTCCCAGCTTGAGCTGGGTTGGCCTCTGTCTCGACCCATCCGATGCCATTAGGAGAGCTGACTTGCTGTCTTTGGGGTGGCCTAGAGAGGGCTCGCAAACTCTTTTTCTTTCTCCTTCCAGATGAAGGCCTGGCACTTTCTCTCTCTTCACCTTCTGATTTATCTCTGCAGGAGCTCTTATCAGAGGCTTGATGCTGCTTCTCCAGGGCCCCCTGACAAGAGTCCCCTCGGTCACCATGACTTTCCACACGCAAGCATGTGAACGTCGATGGAGCATGATCACTTAGCACAGGGGATTTCTGATTGGCGAGATCTGGAGGAGGGCACTCATGACCAGGGCAGAGGTCCAGCTTTCCCTGTGCTGCAGAGGAAAGAGTGAGTCAGAATGGAGTCCATGCAGGGACATCCCAAACAGCCCTAACTAACCTAATGGTGATCTTGTTCTTCAGTACTATCTACCAAGACTTCGTTCACATGGATTCCTCTCCAGCCCATCACTACATCTTCCATCTCCTGCTACATCCAGATACACCTTGAGGCTTTTAAGAGCACCACAGTTAACAGTTGTATGAATCAGACCAACACACAAGTCTCCACACAGTTACCACTTCAGTTACCTCTGACTCCCTACCACACAGTCAGAAACCGTGTCTACTATGTATTATGCAGCTGGTTTTTGACAGACAGCTGTGCTCCTGACCCATATAGAAATGTCTCTCCTGATGTCGCTAAGAATGAAGCAGCCAGGCTGAGAAAGCATCACCCCGACTTTAGTGCAAGACAGCATAGGAGAGTGGTTAGGCAGGAGAGAGGGGGTAGCCAGATGGTGCAGCAACTCAAGACGCTAGTCACCAAGCCTGGAGAGAACTTACTGCCACTGCCACAAGGTGTCCTCCATATGTGCACCATAGCACACGAACGCCCTGCTCCAACAAACAAATAGGTTACAAAAGAGGCAGAACGGTTAAACAGAAAGCACATGACGCATGTCAACTGGGGTCTCCCGACTTTGACAAATACTACTTTGTTAGAATTTTTATAAAGCAGCAAGCCCTCGGCAGGGAACAGCACAAACACAGCCTAGGTCACTAGTTCCAAAAAAGATGCCCCTTACAAACTACTAAATCCTGTTAATTTCCAAAATTAGTTTAAATAAAAATTTCCTCAGAAATCATTGCAATAAATAAATAAATAAACCCAGGGGCTAGCAATCTAGCTGAGAGTTAGTGTGTGCCTAGCATATACAAAGCCTCGGGCCTGATCCCTAGACCCACAGGGAAACAGAAAGGGGTTGGGGGTCGAGCAGGCAGGAAAAAGTGAGAGGAAACAAGGAGAGGGGAAACACTGGTAGGCTGAGGCAGGAGGATCATGAATTTGAGGCCAGCTGGACTACAGAGCAAGAGCTTGTTTACAAAAGCAAAACTGTAGGACACTCTTGTCAGGCAGCAACACAGAAGCCCTCAGCATGGGCCTAAGAGAGAAACATAGACCGTGACCAAGAAGGGATTTGTTAATTTCCACAATTACAGGCCCTGGAAGACCAAAGCAACAACCTCAAATGACAGTTGAAAATTAAAATGAAAACAAAACCCAGAAAACCATTCTCTGCGTTGTAGCTCTAGGACAAGAAGTGTTACCACAAGGTAGCGTCATTACTGCCAGCTGAAGGCAATGACCAACCAGTGTGAGCCATTAGTAGGGATCTTAGGGAATCTTCCGAAGTACTCTCTCTTAGCCAGCGAACCATCACAGTTATCAGTTTACTCTACCCTAGGCAGAATGCATTTTTCAGTTACAACTGAATTAGCATAATTAGAATAATTGTCTTAATTATTAAAGTAACCATAAACACCATTTCCTAACATTGAAATTCCCTAACTCTTCCTATGTGGCAGACTACTAAACAAATACCTTCCATTTTATCCCTCAATGTCCCATAAGTAACAGTGCAATTCTTTTTTTTCCCCCTCCCTTCTCCCCCTTGCTCTGGCCCTGCTCACTCCTACCCACTCTCTCCGACCGGCTCATTCCAGCCCAAAAGTTTATTTTTACTTATTATATGTAAGTACACTGTAGGTGTCTTCAGACACCCATAAGAGGGCATCAGATCTCATTACAGATGGCTGTGAACCATCATGTGGTTGCTGGAATTTGAACTCAGGACCTCCAGAAAAGAAATCAGTGCTCTTAACTGCTGAGCCACCATCTCATCAGCCTGTGCAATTCCTTTTTAATTAAGTTGTTCCTGCGTGAACGCTTTGTCTGCATATATGTTCCACATGGGAGCCTGTTGTCTGTAGAGTTCAGTGACTGTGCGCCACCATAAGGTATTAAGAAGAGAACCTGGACCCTAGCAAGAGCAACTCTTAACTGCTACATCATCTCTCTAGCACCTTAGTGCAATTCTTTCCTGTTAGCAACTCTACTGATTGTCACTGCAGATCTGAATGACAGTCTGGGAGTCACTGATCCAACCTGATGCCCATCCCGCCTGAGTCCCACTACTACAGAATGCCCTGACCAGGTGACCAGCAGGATCTCAGGCCTGTTCCTGGGGTGTAACTGAAGCCTGGCTGCTTTTACCAACTTTCTTCTGTATGATATATAGTATTGCACATCTCCTATCTGAATCTGTTTTCTATTTCTGGCCACCAACTTGAGTCTTCTAACTCCTGTGGGTACACACAAAGTAGCTTTAATTTGCAGCCAATACAATTCAGAATTAAAATGGCCCCTTCAAAGCAATTCTGACATGGTTTTAACATCTATAGGGACTAAGAAAAACATGAAAACAAAATCTCAACTTCCCACTTGATGGGCTTTTCCATTGACTGTGAATATGCCATGCTGTGTACACTCGGGACTACTTAGTCTGAGATCAGATTGAACACAAAATATGGTCAATTGGGTGAATTAGTTTGTAAAGTATCTTAAACCTATAGGTGCTCCTGTATTTATAGTTTATACAGATTTAATGAATACTGATAGAAGTTTAAATTACAAAAATCCACCCAGGCATGGTGGCACATGACTTTAATCCCAGCACTCAGGAGGCAGAGGCAGGAGGCCAAAGGCTTCAAGGAAAGAGAGAGAAAAGAGAGCTGGAGAGATGGCTCAGTGTTTAAGAACACTGACTGTTCTTCCAGAGGTCCTGAGTTCAATACCCAGCTCACAACCATCTGTAATGGGATACGATGCCCTCTTCCTCTTCCGGTGCATCGGAAGATAGCTACAGTGTACTCATTAAAATAAAAATAAATAGATTTGAGAGAGAGAGAGGAAGGGAAAGAGAGAGAGAGAGAGAGAGAGAGAGAGAGAGAGAGAGAGGGAATGCTCCTACATGAAGACAGCCTGCAAGGGTGGCCAAAAGGTGAATGAGAACAGTTTCTCTTCAGCATCCTGGGCCACTAACAGCTCCATGTCCCTTTTGCCCAGACCTTTGCCACTCACCTTGACCGTCAACCTGTGGACATTCTCCCTCCTCTTGCCACACCTCTCTCCCTTGCTCTAGCTGGGTGATGAGCTTTGGTTTTGAAAATGGTATTCCTGCTCACCAGAAAAGAAAACTGTAGGTTAGGGTACAGAAGGTATTCTGACTTGACCTCTGGAATAGACTCAAAAGCAAAGACTGAGGGAGGCACTTCCGAGGTTTAGCAGTTACTTGAGATTAGCAGGACGATGAACTCAGATGAGAATACACTGATTCTACTGCATGCTGGTTAAATGAACCTCTATTACAGTGAACTTTGACTGTCAAGCTGATTGGGTAGAGAAACATCTAGGAGACCAGTAAAGTGTGCCTGAGACTGGCTGTGAGGGGTTCCAGAGAAAATTCACTGAGGAAGAAAGTCCTTCCTTAAAAGGGGGTGGCATCACCCCATAGGCTGGGCCTGGATGGAAGAGATGGATAAAAGTCAGCACAATACAGCTTGTCCTCCCTCCCTCTCTCTGCTTCCTGCCATGACATTACGCTGCTGTGATCTAGCAAGCCCCATTAACCACGACAGATTGAAACTGTGCACCAAAACACGTAATTTCTCCTTCCAAGCATAGTGGCACACACCTTTAATCCAACACTTGGGAGGCAGAAGTATTCAGATCTCTACAAGTTTGAGGCCAGCCTAGTTTACACAGTGAACTCTAGGGCAGCCAGTGGGTGTAGTGAGAAACTACCTTAGAGGAGGGGAAAAAGTAATTCCTCCCTTGTCTTGGTTAGGATTTTTATTGCTGTGAACAGACACCATGACCAAGGCAACTCTTAATAAAGGACAACATTTAATTGGGACTGGCTTACAGTTTGAGAGGTTCAGTCCATTATTGTCATGGTGGGAAGCATGGCAGCCTGCAGGCAACTTGGTGCTGGAGGAGCCCAGCGTTCTACATGTTGATCCAAAGGCAGCCAGAAGGAGGCTCTCTTCCACACTGGGCAGAGTGTAAGCACTAGGAGACCTCAAAGCCCACCAACACAGTAACACACTTCACTTCCCCCAACCAGGCCACACCTATTTCAACAAGGTCATATCTTCTAAGACTGCCACTTCCCGTGGGCCAAGCATATTCAAACCACCGACTCCTTTCTCATTGTTTTCTTGGGTATTTGTAACAAATTAAATACCTGTTTTATTTAAACAGAGTTAATTTAGGAAAAGAGAGAGCCCAGACCAGAGGGGAAAGCCTAGAGATGCAGAGTACAGACACACATACACACACACACACACACACACACACACACACACACACCTAATGGCATTCAACTCTACAAAATCAGACTTCCCTAGGAAAGCAGAGAGTAAAATGTCTTTACTCTCATCAAACCCAAAGGCCAAGCCACAAAGTAAGATGGCTGCTACGAGTACAGAAGAACTAACTAGCTTGTGCGCTAACAAGACAGCGAGTCCGGAGAGATAACCACTTACCCAGAGAGACCAGGTTGCTGTAGTTCTCCAGCATCACCTCTCTGTACAGGAACTTCTGCTCTGGGCTAAGCAGGCACCACTCCTCCTGGGAGAAGTCCACAGCCACATCTCTGAATGCCATGTGTACCTAGAACACAAAACAGCCCTGCTCACTCCTGAGCCAGCCTCGATGTGGGTCAGGGTAAGAGGCAAGAAGAAGAGACTACCTCAGTACCGGCGGTGAGAAGTAGAGAGCCCGCCCTGGCTGCCACTCTGATGCAGTATCTGAGACCTCTAAACCCCTGTATCTACCAAGTCAGTACCAATTATTATCCTACACAAAGTCGTGGTAGGCTAATTTGTACATGCAAAAAGCATACTGTAAGTTCTGAGAATTTTAAATCTAGCAGAAAAGCCAATATATAAAAATTAAACAATGGTAAGGCGGCATAAGAGACGTTCTGAGTTGTGGATTTCTTTAGTTTTTATTTATGTGTATGTACTGATGTTACGTCTGTGCACATACATGTAGGTGTACATGAAGAATGCACATAGAAGGCATCTGGACCCCTGGAGCTGGAGTTACAGGCAGTCGTAAGCCTCTTGATATCGGGGCTGGAACTGAACTTGGGTCTACTCCAAGAGCAACCGCCTTGAAACCATGGCCACTTCCCCAGGCCCCAGACTTTCTAAGTTTTAAAAATTTAAAAGACCAAATAGTCTTACACATCATGTTAGTGTTGACGCAACTGAAATTCGTGCAGTTCCATAACACTAAAGCCTAAACATACTACAACTCAGCCCTGGCTCAACTGCTACAGCTTCATCTCCTGACCTGAGAGGCACAGAGGCATCTGAGCCACAGTACCTAAGTTTCAGGCTCATCTCTGTCATAAACCAATGCTTCTGCTTTCTTACTCAAGAAACCTACCTAATGGCACTTAAACTCCCGCGCAGCGGGTGCTACAGTGGAAGGAAGCTCTTGGCTCCTCATCTCCACCCCACTCTCCTATGCCCAGATCCGTTCTTGACTCTGCTACTTAGAACACACCTTGAAAAGCTTTGCTAAGATTGAGCCCAGGTACATGGTCTTCTAGAACAGAGGAACTGAAAAAAGAACAGTGCATTAGAGTTTCAGATAAGCCTGTGGGGAGCAGAGCCAAGGGCATCCTGGGCAGAGACAGAGGGAGAAGAAAGACCCAAACCATGGACAAGTAGGGCTGTGGAGTGAAACACCTTTAGGTATTGAACTTTTACCGTGGTACGATACACACAGCACAGAAGTCACTGTGTTGACCTAAAGTATGCAGTGGGGCAGCCTCGGGGCATTCCCAGTGTTGCCAATCACCAATCTCCACTTCCCTCTCCACAGCAATCTCAGCACTTGCATGTGGAAACTCTGGAAGGAACAGTAACTTCCCAGTTCCCAACCCTGGTAAAGACATTTCTGTCCCTGCATCTCTGGGACATATATTTAGCCTGTGGCTAACACAAGGGGAATCACACAATGTGTGGAGTACTGCAGGTAGCACATTCCTGAGACTCATCTGCATAGAAGTATGCACTCCTCATTCCTCTGTAAAGCTAAGCAATACTTCACTTCGTGTGCTCTGAAGTTACACGGTTCTGGAATTGATGGATATGGCTTCTAGCTACTCTGAATAACCGCCATACACACTGAGTATCTGGGTTCTTATCTTCAGTTCTTTTGAGTGTATGCCCAGTAGAGTTAACTGGATCAAATGGTAATTCTGTATCCACCGTGGGACATTAGGAACATACAAGGGCTCTAGCTTCTCCACATCCTCTCTAATCTCTCTCACTAATCTCTCTCTCTCTCTCTCTCTCTCTTTCACACACACACACACAAGAGAGAGAGAGAGAGAGAGAGAGGGAGGGAGGGGGGAGAAAGAGAGGGAGAAAGGGAAGGAGGGAGAGGGGGTGCATGTATATAGAGGCCAGAAAAAAAATCATTTATTTATTTATTTATTTGTTTGTTTGTTTGTTTGTTTGTATGACAAGATCTCACAACATAACCTTAGCTAGCCTGGAACTCACTATGAAGGCCAAGCTGACCTCAAACTCACAGAGATCCACCTGCGTCTAGTTCTGGAGTGCTGAGATAACATGTGTGCCCCCACACCAGCCTACTTTCCCGATTTTTTTGAGACAGGGTCTTTTGATGAACCCAGAGCTCTTTCATCTGCTAGGCTGATGACCAGTGAGTCCCAGAGCTGCTCCTAGGCCCCCCTTCCCAGTGCTGTGCCTAGGTCCCCCCCCCCCCCCCCCCCCGTGCTTACAGGTACATGCTGTACCTGTTTTGGTGCTAAGCATCTAAACTCATGTTCCTGATTGTATAGCTGTCACTTTGCTGTTGACTCCAAGTGCAAAAGGTGGACGTCTTTACCCTGTCCCTGTGAAAGCCTTCAGACTGGGACACACATTGTGAGACCTTCTCATATGGCCTCTACTCTAATTTTCACAGAAAAAAAAAAAGAATTGAATTTTGTTCAGTATGTTTCTGCATTCAGCATATGGCTTTTCTTTCCATCAATGTGATGTGCTATGCTGGGTTGGTTTTTTTTTTTTTATTGTAAAACCATCATCCTTACATCTCAAGAATCACTCCCCTTCCCAATATATCGTTTTAATGTGCTTTTCAATTGAGTTAGCATTTTCTTGAAATTTTCTGTTGTTGGTGTTCTGGTTTTTTGTTGTTGTTCTTGTTTTTCTTCCTCAGCTGTAACAAATTTAAAGTTTTCTTTTAGTGTCTTTGTCTAGTTTGGGCACCAAGAGTAATACCAACCTCACTTACGCAGTTTTTCTCTCTTCCATATTTCTGGTAAAGTCTGAGGGTTGGTATTAGCATTTCTCTGGGTTGTTTGGTAGAATTCACCAGTGAAGCCACAAGTCAGAGGTCCTTCTTAGTGAAGAGCTCACTGCCTGAGCCAAGGCATAGTTTCCACTTCTTCACTGCGCCCTCTTCAGGGTTGGTTTCATTTATCTCATCAAATTTGTTGGTTCTTTCAATGTCTACCTCATTTCTTATTTCTGATTTGAATAATTTATATTTTAAATCAATCAATTACACAGGTTTATAAATTTTGTTGTTTTTTGGAGAACTTTTAAGTTTGATTTTCTTTTTTCTTTTGGCTTGTTTTTAGCTTGCTACATACCCCAGGCTGATCTCAAATTTAAAGCAAACCTCCTGCCTCCAAGTACTGGAAACACTGGTGTGTACACCAAATCCAGCTTCTCTACTTCACTTGCTTTTGTTCTAACATTTAATATTTTTGTTGCTTTCAACATTTGGATTTATGTTTTTTCCCCCAGCTCTCTAAATTGTAAAACTAGGTTGTTCTCCCAGACTCTTAAAAACAATCTTCAAATTTGCTACTTATCTGAACTTCTGATATTCCTGCCAGGCCACACAAACTGGAGTCACAGGCTTGGGCCACCATACCTGGGTTTATGTAGTACCAAGGATCAACCCAGGGCTACTTGCAGGCTAGGAACACATTGTCAACTGAGCTGCATTCAAGACTCTCATCTTCTTAACTGGGAGCACTCTGCTTAAAATTGTTACTCAACTTTGACTCCATAATTTGTTTTTGTCTCTGGAAGTTCCTCATGTCCTTGTGATTTCCTGTAGGAGGAGCTAAGGTGGGAGGAGTAGGGAGAGGAAGAGGAGAAGGAAGAGGAGTGAGGTGAGGGGGAGAGAGAGGTAAGAGGATGAAGAGCCATGTAGGTATGGAGAGCAGTCCTGAGTAACAACTTATATTTAGGTTAGCTAATAGGGAAACACCTCTAATTGTACGGGCATATTGTTATTGAGCATTACCAAATATATAAAGACTTTGATTAATATTTAATCATTAGAGTCTCATTTTCTACCAGGCCCAAGTGGATGGCAGGATGGTCTGGGCACAGCCCAGCTTTGTGGAGACAGCATGGAAGATTGGCAGAGCCATCTCCCACGCTGACTGCTCATGGGTGGCAGGGCCCGTGTCTTTGGCCACCTGAGCCAAAGGTCTGAGCCGAGCTGCAGTGAAAATACACCACCACCGATCATGGCCACAGGCCTTGCCTAGTCAGGAACATGGCAGCTCTGTAACACAAGCAAATCCCACAGGCCTTGCCTAGTTGGGAACATGGCAGCTCTATAACACAAGCAAATCGGGTGCCACCAATTTAAATATCTCCTGCAACAATTTCCTCTTCCACACGTTGGTTTGAATGATATACTATTTAATTTCCTGGTATGTGAGGAATTTTCGATTTTCCTTCTGCTACTGGTTCATAGCCTTCTAAGACTACCAATAATTTGTGGTGTAATATATAGTTTATGCTCAAAAGGCTTCACATGCACCTGAGAGGGCACGTCTTGGGTTTCACTGGGTATGTCTGTTAGATCAGCTGGTTTACTGTTGTCCATCGTGACGCACTGTAATGAAAAAAAAAATCCCAACCCAGTACTTCCTGGCCTCGGAGACGTATGACGAGGCATCTGCCGACAGTCTCCTTTGGGACCCCATGTATTCAGAGTTGCTCTCCTCTTGCTGTTCTCAAAACTGTCTCTCTAGTCTTTGGTTTACTCCTCTCATTACCATGTGTCCTACTGTAAATTTCCTAGTGTATTGTACCTTGAACTTTGCAGAGCTTCTTGACTGGTCATATTTCCTGTCACTGAGTAAAGGCGGGGCCATTATTTCCTTAAATGCCACCCCTTTTCCCCTTTTGATAATCCCACAAGTAGCCAAGTGTGGTGGCACACACCATTAGACCCAGCACCTGGCAGAAGCAGGTGGAGCTCTGTGAGTTTGAGGCCAGTGTGGTCTATATGGAGTGCTCCAGGCCAGCCAGGGCTATGTAGTAAGGCCTTGTCTCAAAAGACAAAAACCAAACAAACAAAACAGCTGATAACCACACACGTGCACACTGGTTTGCTTGGGGTCCCACAGATCCCTAAGTCTCTGTTTATTTTCTGTAATATTGTTCATGGTACACAGACTTCGTTTCAATCATCCTATCTTCAGTGTTGGTGACTTATTCCTGTTTGCCTAAACCAGCTTCCGAATCGTTCTACCTTTTCATCTCTATTGATACCTAGCCACTTCAGCTGCAGGAAATGAGATCAGGAACAACCAGAACACGTATCCTTGATACCTGGATAAAACACTTTATTGTCCACTGTGGTTCCCAACAGCTATGTGCAAGCTGGTCCAGTAATAGGTACATGACTGCTGGCCATGAGGGCGAGGGGACAGGCTTACCTAAGATAGGTAAGCCTGACATATTCCAGCAATCCAATTGTTGTCTATGAGGGGAGAAGGATGCCTGCCTGGTCCTTCCTGTTCTTTACTGTGATGTCACGCTCAGCCAGCAGATGGTTTGAAGATGAACAAAGGAACATGAACTCTGTTTGATACTGAAGAACTGTGTGGTGCAGTGTTCAATACTAGGTAAATAGCTGATACACGGGCCAAGCACAAAGGGACACTGAGTGGTGCCTGCAGGTGCCATCATTCAGACAGAACAGGAGCTGGACTCCAGTAAGCATCAACAGACACTGAGGACGAGTGTGTGTCCATCCTATGACAGCTGTCATGAAGACAGAAAACATTCCCTAGGCTCTCTGGAATTGTCTGGGCCACCTTTCCCAGCCCCCGCTAAAGAAGGATGGTATGTGGAAAGTACTTCTAGGTAAGGAAAACAGAAATGAGAGAGTGTCAGGTGAACACGCTTTCTCTAAAAGGCTTGAGAATGAAAGCCCCTTCTTGGAAACAGCAAGGAAAAGGGAAAACAAGCGAGGGAAATCCGGGTTCCTGAAAAGCAAAAAAGATGAAACCAAATACCAAAACACACACCACCTCTCCTTCCTCTGCAACCGAATATGAAAACCATATTTCAGCTTACAAAAGCATTTCCTCAAGCTGGCATGGGAGATGGACTCAAAAACACTAAAATCTGGCATTTCTTCTTACAAAAAGGGCAGACATGTAATAGTCACCTGTGAAAATGCAAAGCAGAGGGGTTAGAGAGATGGCTCAGCAGTTAAAAGCACTATTCACACTTCCAGTAGACCAGAGTTCGATTCCCAGCAGCCACAGGCAGCACACAACCATCTGCAGCTCCAGTTCCAGCAGATCTGGTGCCCTCTTCAGTCTCCACAGTCACTGTATGCATGTGGCACACAGACATACATAGAGGCAAAACATCATGTACATACAATAAAAATGAACTAAAAAAATGTTTAAAATTAAAATGCAAAACAGAAAACAAGAAACCAAACAATTCGGCTATATTGAAAAATAAATAACCATAGCAAAATCCCAACTCTGGGCTGAGTTAAGTATCCTGAAATATACATTGAGAGCATCTAGGATTAAAAAAAAAAATCAAAAACTAAGAAACAGAGAAAGGGGCAAAATCTAGACACCAACAGATTTGACTGGGGTTCTGAAAGAAACAGAGACAAATCCTTTTTGCAGAATTGCTTGCAAGAAGTGAAGACTTCATTACAAGAAATTCAATAAAAATAGGCTGAAATAAAAGTGACAGACATTTAAAAATGGCCAGAAAAAAAAGAGAGAAAAAAACCCTGAAAGCCAAAAAAACAAAACAAACAAACAAATAAAAATAAACAAAAAACTGAACTATCAAGAAACTGAAATAAAGGCGTAAAAGGACTACAGAGAAAAGTAAGAAAGGAAGCTGGACAAAAGTGTAACATTCATATTATTGCTCTTTCTGAAAACAGACAACAAAGCAGTGAGCAGAATAAATATTTAAAAGTATGATATAAAAAAAATTCAAAAACATATGATTGGGGCTGGGTATGGCCATACATACCTTTTATCCCAGCTCTTGGGAGGCAGACCCGAGTGAATCTCTGTGATTTCAAGGGCAGCCTGGTCTACATTGTGAGTTCTAGAACAGCCAGGGCTATGTAGAAAGACCTTGTCACCAAGGCAAACATTGTAGGGAGTTGATCTGTTGTTATGTATTCAAATGCTCAATACTGGCCCCCAAGATCTGGGTGTCCCCTGATCCTGGAGATCCTCACAGACACCAAATGATGCTGGGTAACCTTGCTCCCCAAGTTAATTGGTCAATTAAAGGCTAAAGCCTGTGATTGGGCAGTAGATAGAGGTAGGCGGGATTTCAGTTACCTGGCTGGGGGTTGCAGGTAGAAAGAGACCAAAGGAGGAAGAAGCCACCATGAGAGGAGACAGACCATAAGCGCTTGGCCAGGAGAAACATCAGGTAACAAGGGACACATGGCTGGATGAAGTTAATATAGCTTCAAAACCTGCCCAACCTATGCTTACAGCTTACAAGCAAAACACATGGATTGCATATCTTTTATACAGGCTAGAAAGAATTTATAATTCCTTTTACAAAACACAACAGAACAGATGACTGACCTGAATCAACTATGAAAGTCATATGAGACAGGCGAGGAAAGTAGCCTCTGAACTCCACTAGAAAACCCAGGAGTCTTGGAAAAACACGGAGGGACGGTGAGCCAAAGAAACTAGCCTTCGATTGAGAGGTCTCAAAATCCCAAATCGACCACTGCACATTACAGGAGGAAATATAAAAGGTACAGCCACAAAACAGCATGGCCACCATGCTACTCAGAATGTATCTGCAAAGCACAGAGAGCAGTAACTTGTGCAGGTATGGGTTTACTGGTGTGTATGGCAGGGTCATTCACACTGCTGAGGGAATATGTGGAGATTATACCAATAACCTGTGTCTCTTCAAACCTCCACTCACCTATTTAACCATACATCTATGAAGCCTACCCACACCAGTTATTATTATGGTATTTACAAAATGACAGTGTTCTCCTTCCCTTTTCCATCCTAAATTCATTAATTAGAAAACTCTGTAAGAGCAGCTGTCCCATCTTCCTGTTTATTGAATTCAATTATTTATTTATGTCCAGATGGGTTCTTATCTTTGGGGTTACAATATGACATTATCACCATGTTTTCCGCTATTCAAATTATTGCAGCTTTAAACATTGGTTTTGGGTTGCCTTTGTTTTAAGTAATAAATGGGATGGAGGTAACACTGTATGGTGAGCTCACATCTGAAGAACACTAGACCGTTTTCACTCTTGAGAATCCTAAGCCACCATGTATGAAGTTCCAACTACCCTCCTGGAGAGAACATACAGAGGCAGGGGCCAGGTACTACATACTATATGGAGCAGGTGAGACCAGGGGTCCTTGCTGGCTCCAGTCTTCAAATGAACCCACTAAGGCATCAAAGATATGGAGAATATCATCTTGGTAATACTTAAATGACTACAGCTGAATAGATGAATGAAGAAAACATACAGTTTTAACAGACATGAATAAGCACTGAAGGAATGTAGTAACAAACGTAGCTGGGGCTCAGGAATTTTAAATAGGGTGAGTAGAGAGACCTCTGTAAGGTCACAGAATCTGAAGGATGTGAGGGAGTAAGTGTCTCAGACAAAAGAAGAGCCAGGACAAAGGCCCTGATACAAGAGAGTCAGGCTGGCAAGGTAAAGGACAAAAGATGCAGCTGATGTGTGTGTCAGGATGGAGTAACAGAGATGATGTCCAAATGTAAATATGGCGCAGTGAAACCCAGCCTTATACGGCACTGGTTCTAATTTCGATTAGGGTGGAAAGCCACTGGGGAGGTGTTTTGTAAATGGATGGCATAATGTAAATTATAGCTGAAAAGATCCTTATGGTTTCTGTCTTGAGGGTTGTCGGGGGAGGGGGGTATAAGAGAATAAGAAGACAAGAGATGGCAACGATCATTCGCGGACAATGGTGACACAGACCACAGCGGAAGCGGCAAGGGTTACAAGTCATTTGATTTCAGACTCAGCTACTGTAGACAGCTTGTAAAAACAAAAAAATAATCAAGGATGACCTCAAGGTTTTGAGTCTGAACCTAAAAAAAAAAAAAAGGAGTTGCCAGGTCCCTTGCTCCCCTTTGAAGAATTACCCGTACCACAGGAAGGAGACGCGTATATGGAGAACAGGATCAAATCAGATCAGAGTCTTGACAAGAAAATATCCTCACTCAAGCCTCATCTTTATGAGGACTTTAGAGCATGAGCGATCTCTACCAACGCTGGATGCTGAACCTGTCCCCACGCACAAGAACCCTAACACAGAAGGGTCGAGCCTTGAATCCATCTATCCCTGAGGTTCACAGCTGAAGCTAACACAACTTCCTCAGAGATGCATGCCCACACTTACAAAAAAACCCACACCCGTGCTAGCGCGTCCCCTCAACTCCCAGCCTCCAGCAGCACTCACCAAAGAACAAGGGGCTGCTCCAGCCTCCATCAGGCGAGCACCTCCCACCCTGTGCCTAGCAGGAGCCAGGACTACATTACCCAGAGCCCTCCAGGCGCAGAAACCATGCCTCCCAGCATGCCCCGCGACACCAGCTGTGCTGGAAAGGCCGCCAGCTCCTATTGACCTCTGATCAGTCTGTTTCTGGGCTGCGTGCTTTGTTTAGCTGGAGAATGGTTGCTGCAGAACCTAAGGCTCTCTCCTTCCTAAAATCGCGTTCATAAAACATAAAATCTGCCTCTGTCTGAGGAACTACACTCCCCAGTGACTCCTGCAGAGATTTCCGCATCCGGTGCCATCTGACACCCCCCTCTCGCCCCCAAACACATTGGCCAGCGGAAGTGGCGACCCATAGATGCTTCTTCGTTACTCAGCACTTTGGGGGATCTTTCAGGGCCTTCCGGTCTGACGTGGGCTGGGAACCTGTGAAAGTTTGAAGCCCGTACGATATATATATATTAGGTAAAAGCTCTGAGAATGAGTTACAGTCACAGCTCTCATTTTCCATTTTTCTTTTGAACCGCTAAGTTACCCAGAAAGACCTAGAAGAACCTTAACACTGAAGGGCTGTTAAACCCAGGAATTATTAATCCTTAGATTCTTGTAGTCTCTAAATCTTTGGATGCTTTGAAAAACTTTGATGAGTGTGTCCCAGCTTGACTGTCTCCTCGCCAAAGCTCAGGGGAGAATAAACTGAGACCCTAAGATTGGGCCAACATGGCCACCTCATCTCAGAGAAATCTGGGCTTTTTTGGCTAGGCCAGCTGGTGGTCGTTCCCTGTATTCCGCTTGCTGCCTGTGATCTTCCCGTATCAGCCATGAGTTGCTGTCGTGCCCTACCCACTCAGTCATTCTGAGCTGTGGACAAAAGCGGGAACAGAATGAGCAGAGTGTCCACAGCATAGCAGTTTCCATTGAGTTCACAACTGTTACTCTGGATTTCACTTAGAAACTATGAAGGCTGGGGGTGGAGGGGAGCTTGCTCAAAAGGGAACTGTATGGAAAAATAATGTTAAAACAGGCTGCCTTTGCAGATGACCTCAGTTCGAGTCTCAGCACCCATATGGTGGCCCACAACCATCTGTGACTCCAGACCCAAGGGATCTTGACTCCTGGTTTGTACAGACACCAGGTACACATGTGCTTTATATGTGTGCATGTAGACAAAACACCTAAACAGAAAACATATTTTTTTTAAAAAAAGAATTTTGTCTTCAGTTAGTCAAAAGAATCCTACACAGATGTCCACAGGCCAAACTGATTGAGGAAAGTCTTCAACGGAGGTTTCCTCTTCCCTGATATCTCTAGGTTATGCCAAGTTAACAATAAAACTAACCAGACATGATAATCCCACAGATTTGAGGAGAAAGACCCCTTACCCAAATCATCATGGCCAAAGCAAAAAATTAATTAAAGCAAGCTTTTTTAATTCAGGTACATGGGCTGTCCTTCCATAAGGGGGGTTCGAAAGATCAGTATTGGACACAGGAAAGATAAAGGTTTTTATAGCTCAGGAGTAGGGGACTTCCTGCAGGCAAATAGGCAGGGTCACAGGAGCAGGACAAGTTGGTCACAACAACCTTCTGAAGCACAGACATGATTGTGTGGTGGACATAACAAGGTATTCATAACACAGTCGTCGTAACAACAGGTCGTCATAACAACCTGTTGACAACAAAAGCACCTTTTCTGTTTCCTATAACAGGCAGTACAAAACCATTTGTAGTTCAGGTTACTGGCCGGGCACAGCCCCAACTCTGAGAAACAGAAATTTCATCATAAATAGGAATGAACCTAGTTTATTTTTACTATCAGATGGCTTTCAAGCCTAAGATGGAGGCAAGCTAGTTTATCAGACACTGCTTTAAATCACAACATTTTTGTTTATTTTTCTCATGATCTCTTGATGCTCAGACTAATCCTTATATGACAGATAGTTTGTGAGAATCAATAAGGCCAAAGGTGAATATGGAACTTTAAATGAATTAGATGTGTTATTCTTTCCCTAAATACTTTCAGTAGGGTATTCTACAAAATTAAAAAAAATAGTTATAATTGCTATGATTCACCAAAAAAAAAAAATCAAGTTAATTGAGGGGTGGGGTGGGTAAAGATATAGCTTAAATAGTAGAGTTGTAGCCCAGTATATCCTTTAATTTTCTATTGCTGTTCTAAAAAATACCATAACCAACAGTAAGTTCAGAAAGAACAAACTACTTTGGCTTATGGCTCCAGGGATAGAATCTTCATGGTGTGAAGGCTCGGCATGGCTGCAGAAGCAGGGAGCTGGTTCAGTGGTTTAAAAAGGGTAATGGTGTGTGATTGGTACTAATGTCACCTTGGACATACATCATGAATGTTTCAGCTATCAGTATTGTATCTTTCTTGTAAAGCCTTTTAACATAATTGTGTTAAATTATAGACAGATTCCTAGTCTTTATACTCAATGAACCCATGTCCTTGTGCTGGTGGAATTGCTTGCACTTGCCTCTTATTCATAAGTGTGCTTTGTTATATTGATATCTGAGATACATTTTAGAATATATGAAATTTACTCTATTTTGACCCCTCCTGGCTTGATGTATCCATGTCAAATATAATCACTGCCAAATGTCATCCTGGGAGAGAGAATGGAGTTTGTCCCTGATGAATGGCTTTGCCATTATTGCCATTATTGGTTTAGCGTGTCTATACTTCTTGATGAGACGTCAAACAATTTACTTCTCTCTTGTCGATGCCCACGGAAGTGAAGACTTCCCAGGGATTGGGTATCTGTTTCCATGGTTCTGTGCCCTTCTTTCTTCCTTAGAGTTGAATGCATGAATTTAGTAGGATACAGGTGACTCCTTCCACATACTAAGATCATGCTTAGACACTTAGCTGTACCCTGTAGGTGTCCACAGAACACGCTTGAAACAATGACTCTAAATGTGGCAATCATGGAACACGCAATCGGAACAGAAAAGCTCTTAAGTTCCACGCTGACAAGTTGCTGGACAAAGGGATTTTATTAAGACATTTTTAGGCTGAGCAGTGGCATGTGTATGTAGGCCATCACTTCCTGTTGTACTTCAATAACTGCCTCTGAATAGTTAGTTCAAGAGCAAGCCAATGGGTTTTCACAGGATAAACTCAACTGTTGAGCTTTCCAACTTGGTCCCGGCAGAGTGGTGAGAAGAAGGAGGACTGTTCTGCCATCAACAAGGTGGTGACCCAAGAAAACACCACCAACATTCACAAGCGTGTCCATGGAGTGGGCTTCAAGAAGCGTGCTCCTCTGGCACTCAGAGAAATTTGGAAGTTTGCCATGAAGGAAAAGGGGACGCCAGATGTGCACATTGACACCAGGCTCAAAAAAGCCATCTGGGCCAAGGGAATAAGGAATGTTCCATACCACATCCGAGTACGTTTGTCCAGAAAATGTAATGAGGATGAGGATTCACCAAACAAGCTCTACACGTTGGTAACTTGTGTGCCCGTTACCACATTCAAAAGTCTATGGTCAATGTAGATGAGAACTAACCTGCTGTCAGATAAAATTACAGAACTGCCAAAAAAAAAAAATCTCAAATGTTGAATTTTCTTTTACCTGACTTGGTTTGATTGACTAGGAAGTTGAAGAATTCTCTACATATATTTTGTTATTTTTCTCCTTGTTCCCATCCCCAATTGTTGCTGTTAACAACACACATGACAACAGCTCATCAGTTGAAACCCCAATTGACTCTTCATCAAATGGAGATTGGAATGAGTAACAGAAACAGAATTCCTGTGAGAAGCACAGGAAGTGGTAAATGAAGGCTGGCTGGCTGGTAAGTGCTCAAACATTGTCTCAGGAAAAGCCTAAAGAAGGGAAGGCAAGCGGTCCTTACTTTAGTCACAGCAGTCCTTGCTTGTCAAATAATTAAGCAAATGTGTCCCCTTCTGCTGTATCTGTTAAGAGTCAGGAACTCTGAATGGCCCTTGGGAGCCAGAGTTTCTGGGATCTAATTTAGTAATTTTTCCTCACCTTCAAAACAGAGTCCCCTTTTAACTAATCTTATAGTTGTTCTATGGATCCAGAGTGCTGGCTTTCAATTCTTAATGAAAACAGTTTCCTGGTTTATACACCAAACCAGAACAATCCAGAAAACCTTTTCAGCTCTGTGTGAGGTAAACACAACCCTTTCTTTCTTTCATTCTTCCTTTCTTCCTTCCTTTCTTTCTTTCTTTCTCTCCTTCCTTCCTCCTTTCTTTCTTTCTTTTTTTTTTTCTATAGAATAGAGTTTATTCAAGGCATGGGGAAGGGGAGTTAGGGGAGTAGAGGTGGGGGGAGGGAGAGAGAGTAAAGAAGTAGAAGCCTGCCATGAGCATGAGGAGAAAGTGGAGAGAGAAGAGGGGAGGAGACAGAGGGATCAAGAACAAGAAAGCAAGAGAGCAAGAGCAAGAGGTCAAGAGAGAACATACCCTTAAGTCCTGGTAGCTTTTGTTTTACATTAAAAGCACAAGAATACTTTTCATAAAGGTCATAATTCTGCTATCAAATTCACTGCATTAAATGGTTTTATTAATGGAAAAAAATTTAAGGAAGTCCTTAACGCAAGTTGATGGGAAAAATAACAGAAATAAATACAAAGGCATGGATAGGTTAGGTAGGATTTATAGAAACTTTACTTCACCCCCAGCTCACCTTCCAGTCTTACCTCTCCCTACTGGTCTCAAAAGCTCTTTTTGCTAGTGCATGGTTTGCTTAAAGAAACATGCTACAAGGTGGGTTAATTTTTACAATAACACATAGGGTTAGATAGATGGCTCAGCAGTTAAAGGTGCAGACTGTTCTTGCAGAGGACTGAAATTTGATCACCAACAGGAAAAGCAGACAGATCACATCATTCGCAGTTCCAGGGGAATGTGACATACCACCTTTGGCCTCGACGAGCATGCATGTACACACACACACACATTCACAAACACAATTTTTATAATGTAAAATGGTTATTTTTAATTGGAAAAATATTTT